AATCTTAAATATAAGAATATACTGTAAACAAGCCTTAATGCACACTCAGTGCGCACTAATGCAAGCTACCGAATTCGCTATGAGTCAAACAATCACAAAACTGTCTGAGAAGTTTTTTTAGTACGAAATCTTATCTTTCTAACGCCATCTAGCGTAAACCGATCGCACTTATACAACGCGAGATACACATTACTAAAGCCATCTATTGGAAAAATAATGGATTTCTTTTTACTACACCTTATATATATCATCGATATTAAGATTATCTAATAGAAAGTTACTATTTAGTACGCGTATCAAGTGCACGATGTAAACTAAGCCATTAGCATATATCGATATTTGGATAGAAATATCGAACTTATGATACGGTCTGTGTACACTCAGATAATCTTAATGTCGATGATATATATAAACAACGGTATATTAAGCTGGTATAATACTCATCAAGAAAACGTATTGTATTGATTAAACATGTCGTCGTTATGCATTGTCAATATTAAAATTATCTAATAGAAAGTTACTATTTAGTACGCGTATCAAGTGCACGATGTAAACCAGGCCAATATCGAAAGATAGAACATTGACACAAAATATCGATAATGAAGCCTACAAGTATCGATATTTGAAATATCGATATTATATTGCCCATCCCTAGTTTACACCCCACGCGCCCACTCACGTTAAACACGTATCAGATTATGGCCTAGTTTACATCGGGTACTTAATACGCGTACCAGGTACTATATTCGTATCAAATTCGTACTAAATATTTAATATGCACAATTAGAGTTGCTAAGGCAGCTTCAGACCATGCCTCCGTGAATAACAATAATGCGTAACTTGATATCAGAAAAGTGTCGTAATCAAAAATAAAAATATCCGTATTTTTTCCTTTTTAATTTATAATAGTGAAAACAATTTTTTATAAACAAATTGTATAAAACATCGAGATTTTGCAAAACATATGACGGCAGTCGATTCTACTAAAAAAAATAACAAACTTTTGTTCTTGTACATTTTTTTATCCGAGCTTTATTTTTATTGTAAAATGGCTTCCGGTTCGGAATCTCTTTTGTAACTCTAGTTTGTAGTCATTTTGCAGTGAAAATAAAGCTCGGATAAAAAAATATACGAGAACAAAAGCTTGTTATTTTTTTTAATAGAATCGATTGCCGTCATTTTTTTTGCAAAATCTCGATGTTTTATACAATTTGTTTATAAAAAATTGTTTTTACTATTGTAAATTAAAAAAGAAAAAATACAGGTATTTTTATTTTTGATTGCGATACTTTTTTGATATCAAGTATTATTGTATTATGTATTATCATTATTCAGGGAGACATGAAGCTGCCTTAGCAACTCTAATTCGTTTATAATCATTTTGCAATGAAAATAAAACTCGGATGAAAAAATGTTCAAGAACAAAAGTTTATTCATTTTTTTTAGTAGAATTGATTGCCATCTTTTTGTTTTGCAAAATATCGATTCTTTA